AATCACCATTATTTCCTCTTAACTCTAACGATTGTCTCTCTATGGATGTGGAAAGAATGAAGCCATGATCCTGAAGCAGGTCAAATAAACTTTAGTACTTTCAGTGCTTTCTATATAATCTGTATGGCACCTACTTTGCTATCTGCTGAGAGACCAGGAAAGAACAGCTACTCAGTGACTAAAATCTGACTTCCTGGTGAATTTCTGAATTATGAGACCTTATCCTGCTACTGGGGCAGGTCCAATTGTTTCTATGGCTAGAACAATTGTTAAAAAGAAAATTAATATCTTGAAATGACTTGTGGTTGCTTTTGGAGTTTTCTTTTTACCACTAAAAGCACAAGAATAGTTGAAGATTTGCTGTGAAAATGAAACCCAAAATACATACAGAATAATCCTGCAATTTTGTTGTTCATATGTATCTGTTTTTCCTAGCAAGTTCTGTACTGCTACAACTTGTCTCATACCAGAGTCATTTCTCATCCTTGTAAGAAGAAAATGGAAAGAATCCTACAAAGGACACCAGCTCACCAGTTGCACAATCTGGGTCTGATCCTTTTCTTGCTCAGGAGTAATTCCATTAAAATCAATGGAGCTTTACATCTACAAACCCTGCTAATTGAAAGAAGAATCAAGGCCTCTCAGTTCATGGGTTTTGGTCAGTTCCAGTGGAAGTCTTTATGCTACTTTAACAGTTCTGATAACCAGCAGAGTAAAATCAATATTTTACATAGAAAATTTCATAGCTCAACATGCAAATAATATTCGATTAATCTGAATCTCAATGTGGAATTAATTAGGTTATCAGTAGCATTTAATATACAGTCTCTATTTTCTCCACAGAAAAAAGCATTTATAGTCTGAATTGTTCTCCTACTAGATGGAATACTTACTTATACTTATTTATGGGATACTAATTACACACTATACAAGCAATTTACAGGTGCATACCAGATACGTCCAACAGACATGCACTTTCTGTGCTGCCTTACGTACCTGGATCTTCTTGACCTCCCATTGATTTCAATGAAATGTCCATTTAAAAAACAGCAGCGCACAAGTATGCAGGGGGCTCCAGCATTGAAGGGGTTAAAGGGCCTAAGGACAGAATACCCCATGAAAACAGCTGCACTGCTACAGCCCATCTTAATCTCAAACCAGTATTGTACTGACATTTTCTTTAACAAGAAACAGCAATGAATACGGTATCTAAGGTACTCCATTTATATTTTTTAAAGACGAGTGGTATCTTATAGAAGAGCTTTTCCATGTGCAGTTTGGTGTTATTATCACATTAGCTTTACAGTATAGTGTGACTTTGGAGGTTGAGACAAAATACAACTACACCTACCTGAAAGGCATTCTTACATTCATTAGTTCAGCATATTTGCCCAGGACCTCCCAAGGGGCATGCAGTTTCACAAAGATGATGTCACTGTTTATTAGAGATGACTGCAAAAGAAAAACAAAACAGCCACCAGGGTTTACTCTTTCAAGTAAAAAAGAAAGAAACTGTGGTCAGGGGTCAATGTCTTTTGTCACCCTTCCAAATTCTTCCTCAAACATGTGTAGTTCTATCAGTATTTTGTCAACTCATTTTTTTCTCTGCATTCCTGAAAGCTGACATTTATGCGCCCTCCCTCCTGTATTCTGATAATTGCTGAAATTATTGAAACTGCTAGGGCATGTCCTTAGAGTACCTAAAACATTATTGCTGGTTTCTGACATGATAGAAATGAAAGCTCCAATGGTTAAGATATATACATACATATACATAT